GGTTTTCTATAAACACGATCAAGATTAATTTGTAAATTATTTATATATTTATTTTAATCTTAATTTTATACAGAAATTGTTGGCATAACATTTTTTTAGAAAAATTTTCAATATTCTTTGTTCAACCAACCTTAGCCGAAAAATTTTGAGAAAACCCCGCAACGGACGCTCACGTTTAACAAACATTGCAACTATTTGTTTGCAAACAAACAAATAAAAAAATTTTAATCGACTTCTGATTCTGTATTTTACGCTTCCAGCACAACAGTAGGAATCACTTGCTGATTTTATTGCTACTCACACAGCGCGTCAAAGAGGCGCATGCCTTACATAAAACAGGCCTTATCTCATACGATCAGCAGCTTCCTGCAAAGAACTTCCCCTTCACTGCAACAGTGAACAATTCGAGTTGGAAAAGGCACAGAATTGTTTACTCAATCAACTTTGGAACGCCACTTTGTAGCCACCTCAGCTCGATGCTGCACCAGCAACATCTTTAAAAGTTAATAAAATACGCCCATTGATAACAAGAAGTCAATCGATTGCTTATTTGACCCTGAGGTCTTTATTTTCTTACAACTTATTAAGCCTGGCCAGAGTAAGCTCGTAACTTAGCTTTTCCTTCTAGCCTGCTCCTTATGCGAAGCGCATGTATTAAGGCATTAAAAGTTTTTATGTATTTCTTCCAAGATTAATTTTTATTTCGCATTCGATATTCTTTTATTTTAAATATTCTGACAACATTGTTTGCACTGCAGTTGGAGAAAAAGAGCCATCATCGAACCATCTACAAAAACAATCAATTAGGCGTATCAGTGTTTTTTTAATATTCCTGGCCTTTTGCGGATTTCGCAGAGCAGGACTTGCTTTATTTACGATTTTTATGATTGAGCCAATATACGAGCGAATTGAATTGGTGTTTTGCGGTCTCAACCTCCCGTTTTATGATTGCTTTCAGCGGCACGATTTATTGCACAGTTTTATAGTTACGTGTAAATTGGCTTTTAAAATTTAAATTTATCATAACACAGAATGAGAAGTTACACGTTTCATCCGTGCGAGTGCTGAAGAAGATTGTACGGAATTGTTGCTTATGGGTATCCATCTGTGATCTTTCTTGTTGTACAAATCCATTATAAAGTTTCTTTTTTTTTTTGTGAAATTTTTAATTACTTTGCAGTTATTGACTTTAAAGAAGTCATCATCATCCTGTCCAATGCAATAAAATGAGGAATAAGACAAGATTTAGTCATTGAACCTTTACTTCCGCTTTATACAGAAAAAATGAAATGAGATTAGGCAAAAGTCCCAAGAAACAGTCAATTTTGTTAATTATGATTTAATGAGTTACAGTTTATATTAAGTGAGATGGGATATAAATTATAAACCAGAAAATTGGGCAATATATTATATTCCAAAAGATTATATTTTCAGTATCCAATACAGATTAAGAAGAGCGATCAAATAAAAGACGTTTGATTTGACTTGCATTTTACTCGAAGCTTAACGAACGTTCGTTATACTTAATACAAATAGACATAACTGATTTTATTAATAAAACATATTTATGTTATGTATTATTAGAAGGAACAAGGTTAAAAAGCGACGGATAAAAAATCTGTTAAGAAATCTAATTAAATATCTTGATTTAAGTTTCTAGATTTCATTCAGTTTAATGGAACACATACTAACTGGTTTTCTATTAACTAAAGTCCACAAACAGTTATAGTAGCCTAAACACTAGGATACTAGGATACTGCAGACACTAGGATATATTACATTTCTTTCATATAATCCGTGTATCATTTGTATCAAAACGAAATTAATTTGTACTCACTTATACTTTAAGAATAACTTAACCATCGGAACTCTTCCAATAGAAGATTTAGAGGCTAAATTAATTACAACATAAGAAAAAGTTATAGTTTAAAAAGTTATAGTTTATTTTCTTGGTACTAAACCGGACCTCCAAGGAAAAGGAAGACCGTATCTAAATTCTCGAAGATAGTCAGACAGATATTAAAGTTTTTCTATTAGAGTTTTTCTGCAACTCGTCCGAGAAATGACTTAAAAATTTATTAGATTACCGTTTCAACGCTTTTTTATTGAAAATTACTGATGTCAATTTAAAAATTTATCTTAAATGCAAATTTTCAAAACAAATGCAAATTCTCTCTGATTTAATATATCAATCGTATCTTGAATTTTTTGTGTATTATATTAATAAGTAAAGTTTATTTAAACAAAGAACAGCTCTCTTAGAACTTTCAGAGAACTTTCTGGCAGAAAAAAGCTCTTTCATATGCATTAAGTAACTTATGTCAATGGTAACGACAAAGTCTTAAAGTTACTTAAGTAACTTACTAAGTAAACAATGGCAACATGGTATACGAGGGACAAAAAGCCTCGTCGTGGTGACCAAAATTGAAGGTAAATTTGGTTCTGTCTATTATGTTAAATTTTTTAATTAACATTGAAATTTTATTAAAGAAAATAATTATTTATTAAAGATAGAAAACAACAAATAATGCTTCTACAGACAGAATAGTATTGAAATTTAACAATTAAAAATAAAAATATATAATTAATTAATTCAATAATCCTACAGCTGGTTTATGATTTTGTTCTTATATAAGCACAGCAAGTAGATTTGTTAATAAAACTTCCACAGAAAATCATTAAAACTCCAGAAAAATGTGCGAATATAAAAAAGTCTCAGTAAGACTTTGGGTCAGTTGGTTAAGATGCGCTTACTCATAGCTTCAAATTTGGCAGGACACGAGTTTGATTCCTGGTACTTGCAGTCTAAAAAAATTTTTTACGAATAATTATATACGAGAATTATTTCCAAGACCACTGATAATGTGTATTTGGCAATACCCGAAACACCTGTATGGTCAGCCAAAAATTCAATTAATTAAAATAATATAAAAATGAATTTTTGTTGTTTCAGTTCACTACTGTTCGAAAAACCTCTTTATTTGAGAAATTTTATTTCTTTTCTATTTTCTATTATTTAAATTTGCAATACACAATAAATGAGCTTCAAAATTTGTTTCTGGCAATGCTAAGCTTAGGCAAGTTTTTATGAAACTTTCCATTGCAACTTTTAGGAAAAAGCTCAACGGTGCACTTAAAACGCGAAAGCACAACATATCAACAACAACAACAACAACATGTAACAAAAATGATAAACAAATTTGAACTTGAAATGACAACAAAACAAATCGACTAATAATGAAAATGAAAATAAAAACAATAACAAAAATTGAAAAGGAAAAGCTTGGAAATTGTCACTTAAAACACAAGTAGAATAAATGCGCATGCACCACAAAAAACACACACTGAAGAAACGAAACGTCAAGTAAAGTTCACAGACGGGCAACTCATTTACTTCCCCCACTTTTATTTATTTGTGTATTGTGTGCCGTGTTTTGTGTGCTGTGTGTTGTGCCTTTCCTGTATTAGCAGCGCCAACGGCAGCAGCAACGAACTAAATTAATTTTGTTGTTATTTTCACGTTTTCCAGAAAATTGTTACGTATACGCAGTGTCGGTGCAGTCAAATTCTTAATAATGCAAGCATTACTCATTCAGTAAAGCTTCTTCAGCAGAAGGCAATGAAAGCAAGAGTCGGTGACAGCACATAAATTCATCAAAATACACATTTAAGTTTGCTTTAATAGAAAAATTAGTGTTGACAAATATAAAAATTGTGTATGCGAAAATTCTAGTGTCAGAATAAAATAATAGTTTAATCGAGTAATTAATTCCGTTTAAATTCCAAGAAAATTTTAAGTGAAAAAGTGCGCATAAGAGACTAGAAAAAATTAGAGCAAATATTGTAGTAAAAGTCTATCGATTTAACAGCAGCGTGTCAGCGTCAACGCTTAGTTATTTTTAGTTGCCCTCTTAACGGCGGCTGCGATGCATTTCAAGTCCATAAATGCGCAAAAATCAATTATAATCAAGTGAACTGTGGAAATTATATAAACAAATAGTTTGTGGCAATAATAAGTTCAAAAATATTGCATTAAATAAATTTCGTGTTAAAAGAAAAACAAATTAATCTGAAGTTTAACATTTAAAAAGCTTAAAAATGTTGGTAACAGCAAAATCCGTTGCCGCCAAATGGCGTGCCTTTGTCGATATTTTGATGGCCCCCGTGTCGCCTAAAAATCTACGTCTTTCCGCCATTTTAATTGGTATTTATCAACTGGTAAGCGCAATCAAATTATATAGCATTTAAAATATTTCTTTTATATCTTTTGATATTTTGTTGATATATTTTTTAAGTAAATTTCATATTACTTTTTATATTAAAATAATACATTTATTATGAAATGAAATTTTTAATAGCCTATTACTTAATAAAATAATAATATACATAAAAATCTACACTGAAAAAATTTCGAGAAAATTTTTTATTAGCTTTTATGGATATTCTATACGTCACAGTAAAACATACATCAGAATTTTAAATAATTATTTTTTATATTATTTTATGTTTTATTAATATATATTTAAAATAAATTTAATATTTCTCTGTATATAACAATAATATTTTTATTATTAATTAAAATAATTAAGCATTATGTGCATAATTTAAAAATATAAAACCACATATATACATAAAAATCTACCCTAACAACAAATTTCCAGAAAAGTTTTTATAAGTTTATATTGATTTTAATATATTTTTTAAATAAGTTAAACATTTCTTTGTAAATAAAACTAATTTCTTTGCAAATAAAAATAATTTATTTTTAGTTAGTTAAAATAATTTAGCGTTATATGTATAGTTTAAAAATATAAAAATCTACACTGAAAAAATTCTAAAAAAATTTTTTATTGCTTTTTATGGATATTCTTCTATACACAAGTAAAACAGAATATTAAATAATTTTTTTTTATGTTATTTTATACGTAATTATTATACTTTTTAAATAAATTTAATATTTCTCTATATATAACAACAATATTTTTGTTATTAATTGAAATAATTAAGCGTTATATGAAGAATTTAAAAATATAGAACCATACACACATAAAAACCTACACTGAAAAAATGTCTACAACATTTTTTATTATTTTTATTGATATATTCTTTACATCAGTAAAACAGAATTTTAAATAATTATTTTTTATATTTTATGTTTTATTGATATATTTTTAAAATAAATTTAATATTTCTTTGTACATAACAATATTCTTATTATTTATTGAAATAATTAAACGATATATGAATAATTTAAAAATATAGTAAGGTTCTATATAATAAAACCCCACACTGAAAAAATACTGCAACATTTTTTATTATGTTTCATTCTTTAAGTCAGTAAAACAAAATTTTAAATAATTATTTTTTATATTTTATATTGTATTAATATATTTTTAAAATAAATTTAATATTTCTTTGTAATATTTTTATACTTAATTAAATCAATTGTCATATAAATAATATAAAAATATAAAACCACACATATATATATATATATATATATAAAACTACACTAAAATAACTTTTCAGACAAGTTTTTATTATTTTTTATTTATATTAATATAAATTTTTAATAAGTTTAATATTTCTTTGTATATTAAAATAAATTATTTATTATAAGTTAAAATAATTAAACGTATATGTATATTGTATTGTATATTAATTGTATATTATTGTATATTGTATATTAATAATGAATAAATTTATATGAATAATTTTAATATATGGAACCATATATACTTAAAAACATACACTGAAAAAATTTTTAGTACATTTTTCATTATTTTTCATTGATATTCTATAAATTAATAAAATAAAATTTTAAATAATGTTTTTTTACATTATTTTATATTTTAACTTTATTTTTAAAATAATTTTAATTTAATTTCTTTGCATATTACAATAATATTTTTTATTATTAGTTGTAATAATAAAGCGTTATATGAATAATACAACAATACAGAACCACATGTATATAAATATTTACACCAACAACAAAGTTCCAAAACATTTTTTATTAGATAATATTGATATTAATATATTTTTTAATATGTAAAATATTTCTTTGTATATTAAAATAAAACATTTATTATTAGTTAAAATATATAAGCGTTATATGTATAGTTCAAAAATATAGAACGATAGAAATCTACAATGAGAAAATTTCTAGAAATATATTATTAATATATATTTTTAAATAAAAATATAATTAATAATAATTAATAATATATAATTAATAATAATTTTTTTGAATAAAATTTATGTTTTTGAATGAGCTAATTGTTAATGTATATAAATGTATATATAATATATATTTTTAAAAATATAATTAATAATAATAATTAATAAAATATAATTAATAATAATTTTTTTGAATAAAATTTATATTTTTGAATGAGCTAATTGTTAAATAGTACCTTGAAGATGACTATAGACTATAGTGGAAATTACAATGATAATAAAATATATTTTTTAAAATTAATTCAAAGAATTGTGTACTATTTAATATTGACCAATTAGCCCTTTCAGGAATATATAAATAAAATTTAGTCATTAAAAGAATAATTTATGGAAAATATTCCAATATTTTTAATTGATATACTTCTAAATATAAACCAGTAAAACTACTATATGTAATATACTTGTAGTATACATGTAATATACTAATTTTTTTTTGTAATTTACCCAACCCCTACGTGCAATTTCATTAATAATAATGAGATTATTTTTTCTTATATTTAATTATCATAATAATGTTATGTACTTTTTTGTCCTCTCCAACGTTGACATATTTTTGTATTTTTTTATTTCACTTCTCCTTCACTTAGTGTAGTATTGTTGCGTGTTTAGATTGCACGAACGAGTGTCATATAAATGTTTACCTTAGCTCAACTCCCCCGTAATTGATTGTTTACTGTTTACATACTATTCTCTATTTCAGATATTTTTGTATTGCTCGGTTGTGAAATTACAGAAAAATGAGTGCAAATGGCAGGAAATTTTCATTTGTAAACAGTATGAACCATACCTTGACCTTTTAAATTATAAGTGAATACCTCTAGATCTATGATTTTCAAAATATTATAATTATATATAAAGGTTATAAGTTAGTTTAGCTGAGTCATTATTACGTTTTTTAGTTTATACAGAAAAACTAGATTAAAGTAACCAATTGAATATATTTGAATAAAAACAATTGTTTTTGATAACAATGTTAAAATATGGATTTGTCCCAATAGTGTATTACGTGCTCCAGAAACAAATCGAGGGTTATTGAAGTTGCACTCAAAATAAATCATACTAAATATTTTAATTCAACCCACTCCTAATTATGATTGTGAAGTCTTAATGACTACTCATAATTGCCCATATATTTCTCCGCTTTCACATGGACATTTTCTATTTTCAATTTTTTATAATTCTAATCTAATCCTAATAATATTAAGTTGGCTGCATTTTTTTTTGTAATTTAAATAGAATCTAAACAATTCTGACAGCTACATTACTAGCACTCACTCTCCCACACCGCTCTGATTGACCTAGTTCAATCACTTGGGCACAACACCTTTTTCATCCTTGAGTATATTTTCTTGGGTCGTTTTATATCCGAACCCTATTGGTGCGGTCCAAATTCACTTACCCTACCACACTACTCCGAGTAACATAATCCAATTATTTGGATTAATATCTTTTTCATCCCTGAGTACGTTTTCTTGGGTCGGTTCATGTTAAAAGCATATTAGTGTGAAACTAACGTTTTCGATACTTTGTGTTCGCTAGCTATCGAGTTTTCATTTTTTACTTCCTATACTGTTTAAGGCCTTTCTACTAATACCTATTTTTCTTTACCTTTTACATCAATCTTGAATACTCTGTCATTCGTTCGTTGAATCACTAGACTTTATCTCTGCAACATATTACAATAATTTTGGATTAATAATGGAAAGGAATGTTCAATAATTTAAGTTATCTCTAGTGCAGTTCTTTCGATAGAATGCCGCATGAGCTTGGATGAACCACAAAACCAGATCTTACTTCCAAAATAGCGGTAGCTATTGACTATACATCATTTTTATCAAAATGCTCTTGTCTAGTATGGCTTGTTGAAGCTTGCATTTATATTATATTATAAACGGTACGATAAACCATAAACGATTTCAACTTTCAATATAAAAGTGATTGAATTAGTTAACAAGAATTGAAGGAGTTTTAATATAACTTAATTGAAGTTTTAATAGAAATATAGTTTCAATTTTTATCCAGACTGCCCATTAAGTTTTCCGTATAGGAATAGATCAAGCAAAAGTAGTTTATTGGTCGATTGTAATAACAATAGTTGCCAGCGGTGGATTGGTTTGCATAAGCGCAAAGGGATAGTATGCCTGTGATAATGAAGTTCATATACCTAGGTGGATGAGTGAGTTCTCTGTGCTTGATTGAGATTTTGAATGCAAATCTTAACACTGAGCAATATGCCAGCAATACACTGAAGGCATGGGCTTGGAGCTGCAGAAATGGATATTGACGCAGACTGGTGACGGATATAAGCGCTCCAGTCTGTTGAGTTCAAGTAATGATCGGACGTCCAGACATCAAATTAAGATTGCTGAAATGTGATGAAACTCATTATATCTCACAGATAATCTGATGATGTCATAAAAAGCCAAGCCAGTAAACACAAAAAACGTATGTTACATCATCTCAACCTCTTTATGAGCAGAATTATAGCAGAAGGAAGAACGTTCACACGCCTTCGCAAACAAACACCATTGGAACTTTAATGTGTCCGACTTCAACAAACGGATGTGCTACTGAGCTCAGTCCATTCAAGCTCAAAATAGTCTTTTAAGTATTTAGTCACTTTTAAATATTGTTTATTGTCTACTCTGAATTGACAGATCGCAATAAAAGAAAATAAAATTAAAAAAAAAAAAAAAAATAATCTGTTCGTAACACTTTTAAATTTATTATATAGATAAAGAAAATGGTTCCTGCTGGAAATAATCATATAAAATGTATGATATAAGTTCCAAACAATCTGATCTATCAAATATAATATGAAGAAATTCTATCTCGTCAAAGACATGTAACTATTTTTGATGATATCTTCTCTGATTTTTTTTATGTATGTAATCATAAATGACATCACTGATAGAGTGTTTGTACAACTGATCATTTCAGTTTACTCCGTATCACATATACACTCTTCCAGATAAAATGATAAATGAATTTTTCCCACTCTTAAAAATATTTATAAATGACTTTATGTGTATTATTTATGTTTTTGTATAAAGCATCAATATATGATAATTGTAAATTATGTGATTCCGTGGTGACATCACAAAGTTGTTCCAAAATATTTGCGAACAACTGCAGCATTTCCGATAATTGACATTTAATGTGCGACTAATGAAGTCAAAGAAACCACTTCCAAATACGAGTACATCGGGTACTCGAAAACATTAATTAGGCTTTGTTAGTGGAGTGACGCTGCTTGAAGGTATCAAAAGGACAACAATAAAAATAAATATTATTTTGACATTGCCTTTGCTGATTTTATCACAAATATCACAAAATACATCTAAAATTGAATTAAATTTTTTTGTTTTTCCTTTTTTTTGACATTCCAGCTTGTGGCACACATTTTACTCTTCTTACTTTTGTTGGGTTTGGCAAATGCTGAACAAATGAAAACAATGTTGGCAATGGATATTGAGGATCAAAAGGATAATGGTTTTTATGATATGTCACCATTTAGCAATCAATTACGCCTACAGACCGCATCTGAATTGGTATCGGTTACCGAAACCTTTTTGTACATCCTCACCGCAGTGGCCGCCGTTTACCTGCTCAGTACGATTTCCTTATTTGCTGGCATCTTCAATAATCGCTCAGAGTTTGTGCTTCCATGGTTGGTGGTGGAATTCATTTTCATTGTTTCCGCAACAGTTTTGGTGTTTCTACTACAAAACGGCAAATTTGTTGAATTCATTGGAGGCAAAATTATGTATTGTAAGTGAATGACAGTAAATAATTATCCAAAGATTTATTTTAAAATTAACAATTTTATTCGAATTTCTTTTCCTTCTTCTAATTTTAGTTACAATTTGTTTCGCTGTACTCGTTTTTGATAGTTTGATGTGGTACATTGTACACTCCTTTTATCAGAGCCTCCGCACTATGAACAAATTGCGAGAGATTGCAACTGTAGCCATACCGTGCCCACCTCCAGGCGCTGTAAGTTTTTAAAGTTATTAATAATACTTAACTAACCATTAACGAATTAATTATAATTTTACATCCTTCATAACCAAGGTGACTTTAATGCGACCAAGATAAATGTAAAGATGCATTACTATATACTATATAAACTATATAACTATATAACTTATATAACTTTTATTACATATGTATATTCATATTGATATATAACATCACGATAAAACATCTCGTGGCTCAAATGTGACAGATGTGATTTGCCGCTGTAGTAGGGAACGATATTTATTAAACTGTTCAACTGATAAGCCCCATATATCTTCCTGACGATATATACATTGCATATTATTTAAGAGAATGCAATTCTGAATTAGTGTGCGCATCCACAAAATCAAAGAATTCCAGCGTTTTGTCTATGAGAGATTTTGCATCCTCTCGACTCTCAAGTCTTTGTATAATATATTAATACTATTGTATGTATATCTAAAAAACTAAATTTTTTTATAACAAAAGGTCAATATTTAGAATTGTTACGAAAAGAACATAAAATTCAAAATATTGTCCAACGAAAGTTTTGACATTTTCTCATCTTACTGTCACTATTGGGTCCCTCACCAGCAGTGGTGAGGTCTACCATAAATTAGATCATTTTTTGTCGCTTTTGTGCGACTTAAATCAAAAGTAAGTAATGATGGGATCATGTTCGGTCTAATATTTTCTATAAATGAATTAGCTGTAGCCTTTGTATGTCACCCCGTTTCAGTTACTGATAATAGTTGACACCCTTTTGCTCCAAAAAATTACTAAGCATTTACTTGCTTCAATGGATTTTCGGCTTTGACATCGACTTGGGCAATTGAACTCGTTTAACATACGATTCGGTACACACTTCTCATCTAAGGAAAAGATGAGACTACTTTATATAGCGTCCAAGCAGTATTTCAAACAGGTGTGATCGCTTTTCGAAGCTTCTTCATGTTAACTCATAAGGCAACCTATTTCCTTGCTTTTCAATTACTTCTAATGATTTTACTTATTTGGAAATTGCTACTTACATCGCGTCCATTTTGGTATATCTTTTTGTGATTGACACGAATCTAGCTCTAACAATACCTCTAGTCCTTTATTTTAAAATTGTTTTGGTGCGCCCATCTTTACTCTCAAAATTACCACTTTGGCCGCGTTGAAACTATTAAAAACATTGTATCTTTAGAGATTTTTCTGGACAAAAAGTAGCGCGTTATTTATTTATAACATATGGAAACAATTAATATTTTGAGACGTTGGGACAGCGCATCGTCCAACAAGTGGCCCCACTGAAGTGAAGGATTAGCCGAAGTAGACCATGAAATGACTTGGGTTCTTTTTCGTTCTTCGACATTTTTTAAAATACCAAATGTTTTAGTGATATAAATTACTAAAAATTTATTTTTAGATATATTACTTATCACATCTGTTAGTTTTTACTTATACTTTAACACAATTCTTTTCTTTTGCAGATACCTTTCCGACGTGAAAATATGTACCTTGGAAGCAATGGCTACAAACATATTCTAACCGAAAATCCCGATGGAAATTACTAAAATAAATTGAATATATAATAATTTATTTAAAAGAAAAAAGATACATATATATATATAATAATTCCAATAAACTCTATTTTTAAGGATTAAAGAAAAATATAAATAATATATTTTATGGGTTGCTATATTTGAAACATTTTGCACGTCAAAACTTTTGACAATATTCGATTCTTAAACTAAGATATCTTCGGCTTCTATCCAGTAACTAAATCCACAAATATTTATTTTCCACTTTAAGTACAAATATATAAAACTATTGTTTCCATCTATAATCTTCCTATATTAAGTGGATTTGGTTACCGTAACTAAAAGATTATATTGTAGTATATATAATTTGTTGAAATTATTAATATGCTTTTGCACTAAAAATACAAGGCAATGTTATACTATAGTTAGAAAATATTATTATTGTATTCACATATATTATATATTCATATATTAATACTTATCAATTTGGGATTGGGGATAAGGTATGCTATCACATAGATTAAAGTCTGTATCTTCGGTGACTAGCCTTTACCGTGTCCGGATATTGTCATAACGCAATACATCGTAGGCATGGGTCTATAACCATCAAAGTTATGGTTATGGAGTCATGACAGTGACGAAGCTCCAGTTAATAGAGTTTGAGCATGGGTTTCCTTATTATTAACAATTTAACTCCAATTACAAAATTAACGTAAGGCTTAATAGCTATAGCTATTATGGCTTTAATCATTGACGTGGGGCAAATTTTCAATATTACCCGCAATAGAAATTGTCCAAGACTAACTTCAAATTTTGAAATTAAGGAAAATAAGATTAAATTAAGAAATATTTACTTATCTAAGAATCAGATAAGTTTATTTTTGAGATATGAAGATTTTAGTGGGTGAACTTTTTTCCAATTGAATTCTCTTTGACACATTATATATTTAGAAATAAAAATTAGTAAATCGATTCAGCAATGAGATTAATTTCTTTTCTTCTACTACAGTACCATCTATCATATTATATAGCTTTTTGGATTGTTAAACAATTTTATTTACTTTATTATATATAAGTTATTTTCTTAGCGGTTTTTAAATGGTAGTTTTAATTAATTACATTTCCAGTCCAGCGCTGATCTAAATATATATAGAAGTCCACTTATCCACTTGCACATTTAAATCTCTGATACAATTCCTCATATTCCGTGACTTTCAAACTGTGACTTTTTATTTTTAAAAAAAATCGTCTCGAATTTTTTAATTTAACGCAAATATAAGATTGCCTTGTATTTTTAATTTAACAAGAAAATGCAATAATTTTGCTTTTTAATTAATATTATAAAACACAACATTTTTAGAATTAATGTGATATTTTTTTAATTAGATAAAATCATTATATATAATTTAATAAAATTTTTAAAGCTAAGTATATTTGTTTTGAAGTGCCCCTTCTTAAATAATTGTATTAAAAAATTATAATTGCTTAGAAAGATATTTTTTATAATATTTTAAAGACATGAAAGAAAAGTATTATATATCATAAATATAAAATGTATTTAATGTTATATAAACAAATTAGTATTAACTTTTCAAAATAAATAAATACTAAAAGAATTGTGTTAATATGAAACTTTTTACAATTACTTTTCCGATTTCTAAAAGGTTTTGAATTATGTTTAATGCTAACTCTGTATTAACTCTGTATTAACTCTGTATTAACTCTGTATTATTACTAACTCTGTTTTGTGGTTACAAAAGTAATATATTGTTTGGATCTTGCCATTAGGTATGGCATACAATGTCAATTAACTGCTCTCTAAAAGACATCTAATATTACCTAGATGCTTCTGAAGTACTTTTAAATGAATTGTTGGCAATAGCTTGACCATAACTTGATGAATGGTAAGATGTTTAGAGTGTCGACAGCTCACAATCGTTCTAAAACCTGTACATTCATAAATATATCTCACCAATGGCAACTGGTTTTGTCGTAAGCCTCATTTTTCTTTTTTTTTTTAATATGATTTGTATGATTTGTAGTAACTCAAACTTAGTACTTGGTTATTGGTTTTCAGTGAAGAAAATAAGTGCGACCATATGTAATCTTTTGTGCTATCTAATTCTAACTAAACAGAAGACACTCCTTCATCGAATTATTGTCACATCTTCAGCTGTTGAATTTAATGTAAGTAGGGGATAGGATTTATTAATTTAGTTATATTCGGTTTTAATTTGTCTCAGACAAACCTATTGTGTTAAGATGATTACACAGATTACACAGAACATAATAACTCCTCAGATAACCTATCAACAGTATCAGCGCTGTTCAACTGAAGAAGAAAATCCTATCATAGGCGAACAAGCAAACCTCTCTGTTACCTGCAGTGTCACAATAATAGTGACTACTTTTGGTTACAAGCACCTTTCTATCGTAAATCTCGCTGTGGACTAACTTATTCCACAATAAAACCTCACCGTAGCGGTCTTTTGAATTGTGAATCCAGTCTTTGCGGGGTTGTTTACTGAATCCCATATAACCAGGTTTCCAGTTAAACATATACCGGTTTTGGTGCCAAAATTCTTTCAAGAGGCCAGTACTTTGATCATTTTTTGACTGCTGCTGTAAATACAGATATGGATAGGGTTTTACTTTTAATTAAGTTTGACTTGAGTGCATAACATAATAGCGTGAACCACTTATAACCTATAAGAGGTTTATAACCTATAATAATGGAAATCTTCATATATATATCAATATAGATATGTTAGTTGTTTATTGTAATTGAAATATTAACTGCAATGGAAGTTTAACTGAATGTCGCATAATGGGTGTAGAATTTAGAGGAACTGGCTACATAAAACAATGAATCAAATTAAAAATCTTTATTATGGAAACAAAACTAAATATAAATAATATTTTCTGGATTGTGCATTGGTACATTAAAGCAAATTATTGTTAAGAATTCTAGTATTACTTCGAATCCATGTATTTCAGCTTTGATTAAAAACATTATGCTTTATTCAAATTTTTATTTCTGATTAGGAAATTACTTATAATATTCATAAGAAGTAATGTATAGTATATTAATATAATACAATTTTATAATATAATATATAAGAACCTATATTCTTATATATAAGTTATAGAAAATACTCTATAGAACATATCATCTTAGACACCCTTTCCTTAAAATGAACTATAAAATAATTTTACAACAATTTTTTTAAATATATTTATTTGTTAAAAATTAAATTTTATCAAAATGATATATAAACATATATGTTTGTATATATTCTTAACCCTTCCTCGCTTTAACAGCCATCATAGTTGTAGTAGTCGTAGCCATAATGGTTGTCATATCATTTTCAGCGCTTTCCTCCATAGCCATATTGCTCATTATATCGGACATAGTATTATTCATATTATGAACTCTGTTATCAGTTGGGATACTTATCTGGAACTGTAACAATACAACCAAGTATGTGACCATTGTTGTAAGGAGCTAAAGCATAAGAAATATATATATAAATATATATTTGATGGTTTATGTTAGTAATATAATTCGTCTCAAAAGTTAATCATTAAGATTTGAATAAAAAATATATATATTTAGTCTAAAAATGTACAAAAATCTGACAAACCCCTTTGAATAAATTCCGATTAACATCAAAGAATCCACCACAATTAATATTTGAAGGATTCATTTCGGTAGCACGAAGGAACATGTTAATTTCAGTTTGTGCATCCGAGTTCATCCAGTTCAACTTGACCATAAGCAACTTCTTTTGGAAGTTGGTGCGTACATTAAACGAAGCATAATGGGCCTCATCACATATATAGAATAACAAGCAAACGTTCCAAAGAGTGGTAATTGCTAAACCAATATCCTTAATACCGAAACCTTCGGAAAGCTGTGACATAAGACCATAAATCGAAAGAGTAATTATGAAAAATAAATAAAGATTGAGGAAAGTGAATGTATAACAAGTGGCATTTCCAGTATCACGTGTTAGTTTACTTAAACGCAACCACAAAGCACGATAATCTGCTACCATAGCTGCGGGTCCAATATGGCGAAGTGCCTGTTTTCATTAAAAGTGATTGTATGAATAATTATATTCCATTAAAAAATTACTTACCTTTTGAAAACGTTCTGCTAAGATGTTGGCTGTAGTACTGAGAGCTTTACATACTATATACCACCAAGCTCCTAGCATGGCAGTTAAGTTATCCAGAATACAATAAGGTATTACCTTTGAAATAAATTATATGTGAATTGTATATAAGTTTCCAAGTGAGTCTATTTGAGTGACTCACCTGTACCAATTCAAAATCTGCCATTGTTATGTGTGTAATAACCACTGAAAGTACCGATAATATTGGTAGTGCAATAGTTATCATTATGGCCTTACGTCTCAAATTAAGTGGTACGCTATGTCCAGATATTTGATAATAAAGTATCTGTAGATTATATCAATTAATATAATCATATAATTATCATACTACAATCAATCTCATATATCAATATTATATGAACTAATAGTTATAGATTGTGAGATATATAGTAGATTAAAGCAATTAACGAGATTAAGGGAATAAACGATGTTAAAGCTTTGATCTAGCTATATAATTTGATTGATTAACCAATTAAATATCAAATGTGCTTTTGAACTAGTATAAAGTTAATCTAAATGGGACCTGGAAAGTATGAATTCCATTGTATATATATCGAATTAGTTCTTGTGTGGAATGAATTCGTTTGTGTGAAGAAGGAATTGATTTATTTAAGTATATAACTATACAACTAAGTATAATTCCACTGTGGAATTAATCCACAATACAAGAAGAAACAGCTATTTGAAGAGTTTCTTAATCGGATGAATATTCAAGTTTTAACAAAATTGCAGTTTCAACAAATGGACTATGCATAAGTTAATATGATTGAAGACGAAGTTAAAAATATCAATCATAAGTATTTCTCTCCGGGATTACAGACGAAGTGACTTTAGTGTCTAGGACACCGTATCTTGCTCTATTTCGTTAAGTAAATTTTGATAACAAAAATGGATGTAATTTTGTAACTGGTGAAGCAAGACCGATACGTAAAGTGCTCCACATGAATGAATGGAACGAAATATGATTGACCAAAATACCTTCAGTGTAATGTAACGAAAATGAACATTTTTCGAAACGAATCATTACGGGTGATGAAAAATGGATTAAGTATGATAAAATCCAACACAAGCCTTCATTGTCAAAAGCCGGTGACCCTCCGCAAGCAACTTCAAAACCTGAATTGAAACAGGAATATGTTAAGTGTTTGGTGGAATTGGTAGAGAACTGTTTATTACGAACTACCCATGCCTGGTGCAACGGTTAATTTGACCCTGCTCACAACACAGTCGATTTAATAAAACAACCAAAGAAAAAACCCCAGAATTGACTAACAGAAAACAAGTTGTATTCCATCATGATAATGGCAGGCCAAATCCATTTTTTGAATTTGAAACAACTTGACGGAAATGGTTGGAAAGTTTTAATGCATCGCCCGTATACTCCAGATCTTGCACCATTTGACACCGATTTATTTTGATCTCTGCAATGTTCTCTTAATAGTAAAAAATTGGACGTCCAAAGAGCCGCTAAAAATCACTTCGCGAAGTTTTCACAGTTCAACCACATAAATTCTATATCGATGGAATTGTGAAGCTACGGCAAGACGTTATAAATAATAAATGTCAAAATAAATTTTATTAAAAATAATTATTAATAAAGAATATTTTTATATAAAATATGAAATCAATATAAAAGTCCGTTCAACAATATTCTTAATTAAATTCGACCCACAGTAGTCAAAATACTTGGTAACGTATTCACTTGAATTAACAACTGTAAAATGAAAAAAAATATATTAGAACTTACCTCAAAATCATCCCAATCATTAAGCAAAGTAGCTATCTTTTTTGCTTCCCACCACATAATCGGCACAAGAAAAATGGGTAAAATATTCACCAAAAATAAATAGGCGATAACAGCTTCCTCAAATGGACCCGTCAGTGAGGTTACAATATTAATCCGATTATTTGCAACAAATACCACATAAACCTAACAAAATAAAATTATTTTATAAAAACAAATTAAATTTTAATCTATAAAAACCTTACCGTCAAGAAAATAAAAAATATTATCGAATAACCGAACGACAGCGAGGCTATTAAAAATTGATTATGTCCTGGTCTTGACCTTGTTATAGGCATAACACCTATCATGCGTAAAAACCATTGAGCAGGTGCAATATTACGATAGAAAACGCTCTACATATTAAAATATTTAAAATATATATCAAAAAAAATAAATATATAAAATATATCATTATTATATTAAATATTGTAATAAATAATTAATTAATTAAAAACAAAATTATTATTAAATATTGTACATTTATACGAAATTTAATACTTTTTTTTATATGTATGTGTATTGGTGAAAAAATATTGATTCAGTTTTAATGAAATATATATATTATATATTTTCATCCGGTTTGTTAACTTTGTCTTACTATGTAATATTTACTATACATATATGTATATTTAACAACTCATATGAAACGAATAATGTCTAGAACGTATAGTCATCACACATTTTATCCATATAAGACAGAGGTCGGAATAGAGTTAAGGCTTTAAATAATTCCAAGTTATGATAAAATAATTGGGTTTTAAATAATTGTTTCACCCGAGATAAGGGTATGAGCCGAAAGACGTATCCGTTCAACAGAATTTTCCATTTAACAGGGGTCTCCGTACAACAGCGGAGGAACTTATAATATCCTGGATCAATATATATTTGTATAGATACCATACAAGAATTAATTAACAAACTTACTGGTGTGAATTGTGGATTCATTGAACTAATAGTCGATATTGAGTGTCGAGTGCCACGTCGACTTTCGATATCTTCAAATCCACTATCCACTATATTTATGTAAAGGAACTTATAATTTCCTGGATCAATATATATTTGTATAGAAACCATACAAGATTTAAATAACAAACTTACTGGTGTGAATTGTGGATTCATTGAACTAATAGTCGATATAGAGTGTCGAGTGCCACGTCGACTTTCGATACCTTCAAATCCACTATCCATGCGGTCCAGTAACGCATTACTATATTTTCGTACTGCTGTGGTGTTAACAGGTTTAACATTCAAAAATAATGCCTCAGCCTTCTTCTTTCGATTGTAATTATTATAATTATTCAACATTTTTGGTTTGCGTCTCCTGGAACTGCTAAGAACTGCTCACAATGATAATCCAAATTGAACTGAACGATATCATTAACTTCAGTTTCAAGGTAACTTCGCCGGGCGTTAACCAAAGTAGTTAAGAATTCAATTTGTTGACTTTCAGAATTTTTAATTCTACTATTATTTGCTTACCAAATTTCCACGCTGACTAATGACGAGTATTGAAAACTAAAAATTATTGATTTCATAATAGTGTTTGTAGGAGAAGATTTTTTCGAATCGCTTGCATATTCTTGACCTTAGCCTAGAAATTTGGTATACCAAAAGAAACTTGTGTTTTTTATTTACATTGACAATCCTAATGTCAATAAGTTAAGAGCAGGTCAAGATCACATATTAAATTTAACGAAAAGTTACTATTTTTATATTAAAGTAAGTATGATGATTTATTTTAGGATTATGACAAGAAAAATGAAGATATGCCAATAGTAACATTTTTGTGTTCATATTTGATTTTCTTACTAGTTTCAATTGGAAAAATGGCCATTGCACCAATGCTTCAACGTCAACGTATTCCGACAAGTGGATTGTGCAGAAGTTGCCATAATGAAGATGAGATAGAATCCAGTAATCACTTTCTGTCTTTGTACGAGACTACAGAGGAAGTGAGACTACAGCTTTATTTGAAAAACCAGTTGGTTTAATAAGAACAATTCAAGAAACTACAATGATTAGTGCAGCTCGCCTCTCCCGGGTAAATTCGCGGCAATAGATGTCTCCAAGTGGCAGGGGTGGCAGCTCTCAACATGTTTTTATTCTTGTCATAAATTTATTTATAAGAAGTTTTTATGTATATTTACTGCAAAGATATAAATATTTTTTTCTAATGGCGTTTTCGATTGTTAAATCTGAATTCAATCTGGATTTACTCTCGATCTGTCAAATTGTTTTGTCCAATCGGAAATTTTTGAAATAATCTAAATTTATACATTTTTCACAAATACATATATCAAATCACATCACAGTTTATCTCTCAAATAATATAATACGGCGTTTACATTGGCCGAAAATGGCTCATTTTGGTCAAAAATCGAAAATGAGTATCGAATGGCTCATTCTTGCATATAAAATTTCAAGCACAAAAATGAACAATTTTCTCACATTCTGTATGAATGACGTTCGAATGCATTCCACATACGTTCCAAATGTAAAGGAATCCATTGAACATACCCTAAATGAAAGCTCTTCATGGCATTTTGACAGTTTGAAAAAGCTGTTTTTAACATATTTACAAAAAAAGGTAAACAAATGTTTGGTGGTTGCATTTTCTTGAAAACGATGCACTGCTTTTTAGAACTTTTACTTCCCAAAAAGTAATTAATCGAAGTTAAACATATGTTTTAAGTTTCTAATGTAAGGTTTGAAGGCATATTTAACCTTCATGCAACATTTTTTTGGCACAGGCCAAAAATCAAATCAACATGCAAGTTGAAAAATCAGCTGTTGAAATGAGAACAAATGAAATAGAACGAATGTAAACACTTTCAAATTTCTCATTCAAAATGAGCCATTTTCGGTCAATGTAAACCCCATATAAAACAGCGGTTAATTTCAGGGTAATCTTGCTACTCTGCAAAAATATCTAGAGTGTTATAAATTAATCTCGAGTGTTGTACATTTTGTCCGAGATTCATTAATCGAAAATAAAATTGCACTAAAAGTGCATTAAAACAGCATCTCGATTAAAAAAAATTACCCCAGATTTAACAATCGAAAATAAGAATACAATAAGAATACGATATAGATATTTATACAGTAGGTGAATTTCCTAAGACCTGGAAGCTGGTCACAGTAGTTGTCTTCCCTAAACTGAATAAGAATCCACTATTCACGCAGAACTGGCGCCCCATAAGCCTGTTATCAATGATGTGAAAGATACCCGTAAGGGTAATTCTTGGCAGATTAAATGCAATAGTGGTTTCACGCAATATACTCCTTGACGAGCAATTTGGCTTTAGGAATGATCTGTCCACGGAGCTTCAACTAGCTAGAACGGCCCAAATGATCCAAACAGCCCTCAGTAGCAGACAGTGGACTGCAATGGTCATTTTTGACATTTGACTCGCAGTTAATAGAGAGTAAAAGTGGTGAAGTGCGCTAACTCAACTAGCCTCAACATTTTACAAATATACTGTATAAAATATTTCTACAACTTTTCTATGCTTGTCAAATATTTGTAACATTTATTTAAATCTATATTAAAACAAGTCGTTAACTTATATTGTGATTGTCAACGTACTTAATAACACAAAAATTTGTTTTTTTTTGTAAATAATTAAGGATGAATATAGCAAATATGAAATAGTTTTTGTAATTAATAATTAAAATGAAATTTGTTTTCTAAATGAATTAACACCAAAAATACAGTTTTGCGCCACCTGGGTTTCAAGTTCCTGTGCTTAATAGCTTCTAAATGCAACCCTGTGCAGTTTTTTGTTTTGACAATTGTGTGAGAAAATTCTAGCAATTTCAATAAAACTGCCGCATTGTGTAGCAAATATATTTTTTCGTATATTTTAAATTTTCAAATCCTTTGGTTTAAATAAACGTTATTCTAAAAATGGTGGACTACAGCAAGTGGAAAAATATTGAAGTAAATTATTAATAATATTTTACAATTTTGTAATATAAAATAAAATCTGTAAAAAGATTTCAGATGATGAAGACGACACTCATCCAAATATTGATACTCCCTCCCTGTTTCGCTGGCGGCATCAAGCACGTGTCGAACGTATGGCCGAAATGGAAACCGAAAAGGAAGAGCTGAAGAAGAAAAAACAGTCATACCAGGCACGCCTTATTGACGTCAAAGAACGTATCAAAAATAAAAAAGGTGATGAAGAAGAGTTAAAGGTTTGTTTATTTAATTATATAAACTATATAAAAATGTTATATAGAATTTGGTTTGGCTTTCCGTCCAAATAGAAACAATTGGAGAAAATCAAAATAGAGGGAAAAGAGCTCGATCGTCAAGAAGATGATTTTCATAAGAAAGAAAGGAAAACTCCTTGGAATGTTGATACTATAAGTAAGCCAGGTTTCGAAAAGACTGTTATTAATAAGAAAACACCAAGAAAAGCTGATGAGGAGCTTACCGAAGAACAGCGACAGGAACGCATGAGTAAATTCGTCAAGGAAAATGAAAAATTATGCAAACAGTATGGTATGTTGCGAAAGTACGATGACTCGAAACGGTTTCTGCAGGAACATACGAATTTAGTTTGTGATGAAACTGCTAATTATTTAGTTATATGGTCGATTAATTTAGAAATGGAAGAAAAACATGAATTGATGGCACATGTTGCGCATCAGTGTATTTGTATGCAGTATATATTGGAATTAGCTAAACAATTGGATGTGGATCCACGTGGCTGTGTAAGCTCATTCTTTTCAAAAATACAAAATTGTGTGCCGGAATATAAAATTCAATTTGAAAGCGAAATTGAAGGATTTAAACAGCGTATTAAGAAACGAGCACAAGAGAAAATACAGGAAGCTATCGCAGAACAAGAAGAGGAGGACCGCCAAGCGCGTCTTGGACCAGGAGGTTTGGATCCAGCCGAAGTTTTTGAAGAACTACCAGATGTAAGTTTATATATTAATTACTAACTTAAACACAGTTACATTATTCAATTATTTTGTAAATATAATTTGTGTGATGTTTGATCATACATCGTATTCAATAAATTTAGTAATTAAAATTAATTTTTTTTAGGAATTAAAAGCTTGCTTTGAATCGCGTGACATTGAACTACTGCAAAAAACTATTACTACTTTGCCTGTGGAGGTAGCAAAATATCATATGAAACGTTGTGTTGATTCGGGCCTCTGGGTACCAAATGCAGATGATCCAGTTTTAGATACAGATGAAAATAAAAAAACTAAAGAGGAAACAAAAGATAGTGAAGCCAGTACATCTACAACTGATTCTGCTAAAACAGATAAAAAAGAGGAACCTATTTACACTGGAGTTAGTACAGATGATGTGGATTGATAATGTAATAAAGAGAAATAATATATGGAAAGCACATAAAATATTAGCACTTTGGTAAAACCTGAAAAACATAGTTTAACATAAATTCTTTAACCACCATTTGCGTGTAAATCCGACCTTATTCTAAATCCCTATTTCTATTTTGGAATTCTAAAATAAACAGATTGTTACAAACATAAATTCATTAAAAAAACTCATATATATTATATTATTTAAAATTCAATTTAGTGTCTTCAAAAGTAACATATATAGATAATATTAAAATATCCTTAAAAGAATAAAATTGAAATTATGATAATTAATTCCGTTGATCTTAATTTAATAAATTTTAGTCAGCAGAAATTTGAAGTACCTGTGAAGTACCTAAACTGATGGGTTCTCGTAAATAATTACTACGTTTATATATTAATTGTGCCCCCTTCCTTAAGGACCTGGACCAGTTACAGGATCTGACTTTAAATAGCATTTTATGCTTTGCAAACGGTTCTAGGTGGTTTTAAACCCTGAGGTTTTCATCATATATATACGGCATCACAATGGGCCAATAGGCCTAAGTGGATCCACTAGGGATTACCGGTATAACCTAACCTAACCTATATTAATTGTGGCCGGATAAGCTGCCAAGCCAAAAATAACTGGTTAATAAGTACAGTAGTTATCTCTCAGTAGAACAAACCTTAGGTTGCGGGTAGGTTATCTCACGAGTCACAATCTGCACTAGATTAACCTATCTGAAGAGACAGAATGTCGCTTTCGCATGACATTTCATAAGATCTCTGTTCAGATATTTTGTGACCATGTGGCATTGACTATTAGGAAGAGAATACTATCCTTATTTTCATTTGAAATTATACTCACTTCACGCTACAAACTCAATGTTTTCTTACGGAATCTTAGCACTTACAGTCTTAAGTGTGCATTTACATTATATATTTGCTCTCAGAGTAACTGCAAACAAGAATTTAAGTGAATTATGCGAATAATCAGATGCCATTAAAGCAGTTGATAGAATAATGTGAGAATTTCTACAGTTATTCTGTTATAATACGAGTGAGCATGGAAGTGGGAGCAGCGGCGCTTGCATTTTTGCGTGAAGAGAGAAGAGGAAAAAAAAGCAACTCAACACTTCCTTTGCAAATGCCTATATAGAATCAGATAAAGGCAATCTGCTATGAAAGCCTACGAGTTACATAGCCTGACAGATAACACAAAAACAGATCTATCAAAAATAATATCCTTTATTGACTAAAGAAGATTGGTTTAGGGAGAATTGAATATGATACTTGTACTCTACTTGAATATAAAAGGAAGCTTTGTCGCTACTTAAACGAATCAGCATGTATTAAAAGTAATTCTCCACAGGATATGTGTACCCTTTATTTGTCCCGTCATCCCGTCAACATTATTTTTTGCAAAAAATATAAACCGTCATATTATTACTTTGACAGAATCATTTCAGAAACCGAATCAGTAACAGTTGATTAAGTAACTCGATTAAAGTACTATCTAAACTTTTTTAATTTTAGCCAACGATCTGGTAGTTTATATAGATTAGCACAGATCTACACAGTATATTGATGAATATTGATTCTTTAGTACCCTCTTTTAAGGTACTAAACCTCTGAGGAAGTCAAATAAACACCGAAACGTTGACGATATTTACTTAAACATTAACTAAATAAAATAAATTAAAAATAAAAAGCCGATTAAGAGTTTTATGTTTCGCTCAACTAAGCCTTTAACTACATAAATAATATAATATAAAAAGTCAATTCGAAACTCTTCTAATATTATCTTTTGAATATAGGCACAACGTGAAAGTAAGAATTGCATAAAATTGCCTTTATTGATTCACAAATTTGACCATATGGCTATCTGCATATGGATTGCTCTATAATCCATATAGCATAATCAATTCAAGTTTTCTACATAACGGGTCTCATAATGTTTCAACTACACAAAGACAGATTAATTAAACTAAATCATTTTAACTCATCGATCTTAATATACATACATATATTTGCCAGAGATTGAGTTTAACCTTCACTGCCTTACACACAAACATTTTGATCTAAAATATTTTAAAATAAAACTCACTGGGATATACGACAGGTTCGAGACATATTCCCGACTTGCACTGAAATCCGAAAATAATTATGTTATTATTTTATAGTTACGTTATCATAGGGGTCCACTTAGGGCTATATACCGCAATAGTTAGATTACTATAGTAATCTTAAACAGCTACTTAGACCTATTGTTATTGTAAAAGCGCATATTTAGCTGCTGCCCAAGGAATATCTCTTTGTGTGCCACACAGATGGGCATACCAATACCATCATGTTTAATAGAATCTGCACTCCAAAATGCATTCGTCGATCCCTTTTCTCATGTTATGTATATATCGACACCTATTGCAATGGAGTTGAATTCAGTGAGGTCAAATGTAAATGTAAGACCCACACATATGAAGTGTACTGTGCAGT